AAGTCGGACCGACAGAGGATACTGAAGCAGACTGTCTCCTTTGGGCCATTTGTGCCCATGTCTAGAATTCAGTTTTATCCCCACAAATATCCAATAAAAAATAAAGATCTCAACAAGGAAACCATGTATTACTAGAGTCACAGTATATACCTTAATGTTCCACTGTAAGCACAGGCCACAAAAAGTCCGGGAAGTCCTGGGTAATCTTGCAGAATGTCCAGGACCAAATAAGGCATGAGCTGAAAAATTCAAAAATTTACTCCTGAGTACTATATGCTACCAAATACAATTCATCAATGCCTCATTTATTTTGTGTTTTTCGAGAACTAAAGGTAGCTATTCCACAAAATTGAAATTTCCAAATATCTAAAATTAAAATTTTTTAATTGCTAAGACTTAAAGAAGAGCATAGTAGTTAAAGCTACAGGCTCAGGATTCCGACAGATGTGGCTCTTTTTACTTAATTTCTCTGAGCCTCAGTTTCCTCGCCTGTAAAATAAGAGTAAAAAAATAGAGTTGCTAGAAGAGTTAAAGTAGATAATCTATGTAAAGCTGTTAGTGCAGTATATGGAATATAGTAAATGCTTACTAAAAGGTAGCTATTCCCATTCTTTGAAATAATAACTTGATTTACAGGAAATAGTTTACACACCTCTGTGCTTAAGTAAGCAGCAGTTACTTAACGTAACCTTACTTGATGACTCAAGGCTATCCTTGTGAACTTCAATCACTGCCCAGGACTGAAAGTGTAATTACAGCAGCATGAGAGACAGTGACAAGTGGAGAGTAATGTCAGTAAATACCTGCCTTCTTTTTTAAAAGTTCCTGACACCTCCCTGGCCAGTGTGGCTCAGTTGGTTGGAGCCTTGTACTGTATACCGAAAGGCTGCAGGTTTCAGGTTTGAGCCCAGTCAGGGTCATACACGGAAAGGCAACCAATTGATGTCTCTATCTATCTATCTATCTATCTATCTATCTATCTATCTCTATCTCTATCTCTATCTCTATCTCTATCTCTCATCTCTCATCTCTCATCTCTAAGCATGTCCTTGGGTAAGAATGAATAAAAACGAAAAAAAAGTTCCTGATACCAACTTGCTTTTTTGACACATTACTTTAAAAAATAAATATTAAATAAGGATAGGAAGGTGTATGACTTCAACACTGTGCTCCATGGCAATCTTTCAGCAAAATTTATTTTATATTTTTGTAAATCCTCTCCCAAGGATATATTTTTTCCCCATTGATTTTTAGAGAGAGTAGAAGGGAGGGGGGAGAGACAGAGAGACACATCGATTGGTTGCTTTCCACATGAGCCCTGACCAGGGCTGAGCCTGCAACCAAGGTACGCGCCCGTCACTAGAATCAAACCCAGGACCCTTCAGTGCGCAGGCTGCCGCTTTATCCACTGAACCAAACAGGCTAGGGCAGCAAAAATGATTTTTAAATCAAAATGGGCCTAAGTGGATAATTTTCCAGAAAAAAAAAAGTCCTCTCATTTGCATTGAAACATTATTGCTCCCTTCTCCCATAGTACAGAGTGGATGAAGCCCCTACCTTATCAGACTCTTTGATTTCATTCAACAAAGGTCTGTGGATGGGATGTGGAAGAACATCTTCCACTGTTTCAAGGGCATGAACTGAATTATCTCAGCAATGCTTCTTCCCCCATGTTCTCCAAAGCTTACTAACTCTTTATTCACAGAAAATGAGAATAGCACTTCTTTATGAGATTAAGACCCAATTTTTCTAAGATAACTTACAAGTTTAACTTCAAGCAATATTCTCTGCATAAGCAAAAGTAAAGTGTCTACTGTTAGTGTTATAATGAGATCTAAAATCCTCTACCCTGTCATCAACTTTTCTCAAAATCTTTGGTGTAATATTTCATATTCTGAACGTTCCCCTCAGGTATAGGCAGAATCAATGAGGTAAGACTGAGTAGAGGAAATTAGTAAAACTATATCTAGGCAGTAATCCTGCCTCCTCAGGGTGAGCTCCTGCCGAGTGTAGCAGAAACATATCTTTACATTCCTCAGTTGAGATGTCCATATCATCTTCTACTGACTGGGCCTTATCTGTATTGCATCCCCAGTGAAATCTTAACTGAAATAATAACACATTACTGGAAACATCCTGTAGGGAGCAAACTTTTTTATTTTTCAGAAAGTTAGCACACACTCTCTATGTGATCTGTGTATGTGTACAAGAGTGTCTTAGATGCTCTTTATAACAAGGAGTCTCAAGGTTAGGAAGTTGCAGGGGGGTTTTTTTGGGGGGGTGGTTTGTTCAGGGGAAGCGGAAGGTATATTAGAAACATTTTTTTTTAAATATCTTTGTCTTCATGTTACAGACATTAAAGATTGACATTTAATTTTTCAGAAATTAGCACACACTCTCTATGTGATCTGTGTATGTGTACAAGAGTCTCTTAGATGCTTTTTTATAACAAGGAGCCTCAAGGTTAGGAAGTTGTAGGGGTTTTTTGGGGGGAGGGTGGTTTGTTCAGGGGAAGTGGAAGGTATATTAGAAACATTTTTTTAAAATCTCTTTGTCTTCATGTTATAGACATTAAAGATTGACAACAAAAAAAATCACAAATATTCTTGACTAGAGAGAATATAATGGAAGGGTGCTTCCATCTTCAGAGTAAACATGATTCTTGGATTCTCTGGGAAAATAGGAAGGATCTATTTATCTAAAGGAGGGCATGTGTTAAGAGAGGACTGAGATACACAGCTCAAGGATGCTCTCATTTTTCTAATCACACAAATTATATCTTTCTGGGAATATGTTATGCATTTGCACCAACATAAAATTCAGCCTATCTTCAATTCTAATGAGTCCCCTGGGCACTTGATTGACAGGCAAGTCTTAGAAAATAATTGTGGGAAGAACTAAGAGAACTCAGGCTTTGTACTCTGGTAGACCTGGGTTTGAGTTCTAGCTACACTTTTTGAAAGATGATAAATGGCGTAGAGGTTCAAAGTTAGGACTCTGTTGGCAGTCTGCCTGGGCTTGAATCTGGCTCCAGGTTTACCAGCTGATTACTTAATTTCTCTGTGCCTCCTTTTCCTCATCTTTAAAAGGAAGATAATCATAGAACCTACCTCAGAGTGTAGCTGTGAGAATTAAAAATTGAAATTTATACAAAGCACTTATGATAGTGCCAGACCTATGGCAAGTATTTTATGAGTGTTTACAGCTATTCTTATTTATTAGCTATGTGATCTTGAGCAATCTCTATAATCTGAGATTTATTCATTCCCTTATCTGTAAAATTAGAATCACAAGGGTGTGAGAATGAGATAAAGCAGGCAAAGCTCATGGCACAGAACCTCATCACATAGTCGATATTCAGTAAATGTTCACTCTTTCGACCCATTTTTCTGTCATTTAAAAACTGAAAGGTAAGAGAATATAGTCAATAATAATGTGGTAAGTTTGCATGGTGACAGATGATCACTTGAATTAGTGGGATGACCACACTGTATGGTATAAAAATGTCAAATTGATACCATTGTAAATAATTTGGTTATTAATTAACAGGGAAGGAGCAAAGGGAAGGCAGATATTACAAGCATGCCCAGCAAAGTTTGGGTGATGTAGGGAAGGTACTTTCCTGTCAGTCACACTGGGAACAGGTCATTGGTCAGGATAGGTGTAGCCACTACAAGGATGTGAAATCTGAGATACTTAAACTCCTAAACGAAGCATGTTTGACATGCTTGTCCTAACAAAGGAGTTCTCTCTTGCGCACGGGGCTCCTGGCTCACAATGGACTAATGGACTGTAACCAGCCTGATGCTCTGTTGGACCCAGCTTCACTCTAGAACAAGAACTCTGGACACTGGCTGTGCTTTTAGCTCTGTTGAATCCCCCTGCACATTTTCCAGTACTGGTTTAAGGGAAATGGGACTTTAGAAACACAGGGATGTAATTCCATGCAAATAAAAACCAGTCATCTTCCTGTGCAAATCGTAGAAAATTCTTTTTCTCAAGGTATTATAAGAACCTGACCCCCAACACCCAGTGGGGAAAGAGATACCCCACTTCCACTGATAACAAAATCACTATATTGTAAACCTGAAACTAATATAACTAATACTTGAGGCCCAATGCATGAAATTCGTGCAAGAGTAGGCCTTCCTGCCCTAACTGGTTTGGCTCAGTGGATAGAGTGTCGGCCTGCAGACTGAAGGGTCCCAGGTTCGATTCCGGTCAAGGGCATGTACCTTGGTTGTGGGCACGTCCCCAGTGGGGAGTGTGCAGGAGGCAGCTGATTGATGTTTCTCTCCCATCAATGTTTCTGACTCTCTCTCCCTCTCCCTTCCTCTCTGTAAAAAAATCAATAAAATATATTAAAAAAAAAAAAAAAAAGAGTAGGCCTTCCTTCCCCCAGCTGCTGGCATCTGCTTCCCTCTGGCACCCGGGACCCGGGCTTCCCTCCGGCCACTGGCAGGCACCCGGGACCTAGGTTTCCCTCGCAGCCCTGGCTTCATCCGGAGGACCTCCAGTCTAATTAGCATATTAAGCTTTTATTATTATAGATAGTATTATAAACCAAGTATACTTTAATTAAAAACAAAACTGAAAAGTAAACTATTTATAAATGGGATATCTAACAATATGACAAAATGTCCTACAGTAATATAGCTTATACAGACAGTCCTCAGGTTACGCTGGACTCGACTTATGTTGTTTCATGGTTACGTCGCCATCTCCCATTTATTTATTTAAAAAAAAAGTTCCGTCATTTCAACGTATGTACATATGTGCTTTATGTTTTTTTTTTTTAATTTACCAAAAGTAAAGGTCAGGAATTGTTATCTTTCTTTTAAATTTTTTTTACTGTTTCACTTCATTATTGCTGTGTATGTGCTCCACGTGAGTGACGTAGGTGCTTATGTAGGTGGGTTCCAACTTACGGCGAAAATCGCATTACGTTGCACCGTAAGAACGGATCTCTGACATAACCTGAGGACCTACTGTATACAGCTTTGGCTTTTTAAAACTTTATTTACCAAAAGTAAAGGTCAGGAATTGTTATCTTTAATTTTTTTTTACTGTTTCACTTCATTGTTGCTGTGTATGTGTTCCATGTGAGTGACGTAGGTGCTCATGTAGGTGGGTTCCAACTTTACAGCGAATATCGCGTTACATCACTCCGTAGGAATGGATCTCTGACATAACCTGAGGAACTATTGTATACAGCTTTGGCTTTTTAAAACTACGTTTAAAATTCTATTCCCAGCCTTGAATTATTTCTTGAACTATTTAACACTTGGCTTGAAATTTTTTCAGTATTTCAATATTTTAAACTTGGATACAGCATTCTTTATTCTTGCTATACCTGCCAAGTGCTATATAGAAATTAAAGATGATTATATTGTGCCTATTTACTGTTTATCTACAAGAACATGAATACTCTTCCCTCCCAACTAATAAGCATTCTGAATGTCACTAATGCACATGTAAGAAAGACATGGTACTGAACCTGGTCTGGTGCAGACACTTTATTGTTTGTCCAAGGATCGCAGTCATGGTACCTGGAATATAGGGCGAGCCCACAAAGCACTGCACAGACGAGGATTACCCAGAGTCCCACAAGATTGATGTAGAGAGACCTAGAGAAGTGAAAACAAGCCAGCAAATGACAGTTGTGATTTCCATCCCAAAGAAGAGGAAGGTTATTTTAAACAGAAGAAAATTCCATGATTATATTCAATAAATGTACATTATCTTTTATCAAAAATGCTACCTATTTTATCCTGGCCTAATCTTCTACGTATGAATGACATCGATCAACAATGTGCTTGGAAATACTTAGGTGACGTTTTCCCACTGAATGAATGCATTCTCCTGGTTGGAGTTCCAAGGGCATTATTAGCTTTATAATGGTATCTAATTATACTACTTCAGGGTTTCTTGTCATAAAGATTTTAATAATCAACAGATCTGCAACAATTACTCATTTTCCTTTTAAAACTGATACAATTATAAACTACTAAATATACTTAGCCTCTACATAGCAACTCATCAAACCTGTTTAAATGTGGTTTGTCATACCATCCATTAAGTATGAAAGGCAAGCCTATATTCCATGGACAGTATCTTCCCAAACAATGTTCAGCATTATAATGCACAGTGTGCACCCCAGTGGAGTGCAAAGGTTTATAGAACACTGCTGGAGCCAGACCTGAACATAAATCCCATCTCTACCAACTATACGTGACCCTGGGCAAATGATTTAGCCTTTCTGATTCTCAGTTTCTTCATTTTCACCTAGAGATAACAATGTCGACCTCACAGAGTTATATGACTAAATGAAATAATATATATCATATGGCACAGAGCTTGGCAAGTAATAAACACTTGCTAAATGGTAGTTGTTGATATTATTAGTATTGATGCCATTGAATGCTATGCCTTAATAATCAGTTAAATAGTGAATTTCTCCCACTAAGGTGCCTACATTTCTCCCCAGTGGTGCTATAGTAGACACTGTGATAAGCTGCCCCAGGGCAAAGAGGGGTATTACCCACACAGTCATGTAGTGTCTAATGACCAATGGATTCAGAGATTTAAAAGGCCCAGTCTCCTTACCCTCACTTGGGACAAGCCTTAGAGCTTTAGAGCTCCCCTGTGGTCTCTGTTGAGGCTGTATCACAGTCCAAATTCTCCCTCTGGCCAATCCTGTTTTCTTCCCTTCCTTCACTTCCCTGATAGAGGCTGGCATGCTAACTCAGAGCTGGCTTCCAGGAGACCGCCATGCAACAGGTGCCCGGCAGGTGCCAAACAACAGACTGCTAGCCTTTTCCCTTGATTCACTAAATTCACTGTGTTTTGTTATTGTCTAAAAATAGGATAAGTAACTATATATCACCTCTGAATCATAGAAAATATACCCAGACACTTTCCTGTTCAGACACCTCCCTTGCTTACATGTGAGTTTAATATTTTACCATTTTATTTATTTTAATGGTATTCAAATAGGTCAGTTGTCAACATCTGTTGTCCCCAGTCAAACAGGGTCAGTAAGTCTGACTCTTGGGCTGGGATTCATTCTTCCCATGGAACCAGTGTTGGAAAGCCAGAGAAAATGGTTCCCCTGAGCCCTGGGAGTCTGCCCTGTTAAGGAGACCCATTGGGCTATTCAGAAGGAAATTGCTTCTTTTTAAGAAAGCTCTAAAGCTGTTCTCTTAGTTATAAAAATGGGCTTTTTGAGCTTTGTTGTGTTCCCAACACAACAGAAGAGCATGCGCACAATTACTTTGGGAAAGGCATCAGTTCTAATATAGATTTCCACTCTGGTGGAATCCTGGATATATACATTACATGCCTTCGAAGTTCCTTATAATACCACAACTATTAAGCTCACTTTTGGGGGACTGCCTATCCAGTTATTGTACTCATATTCACATCGATTTTTCATTGTGGGATTATCCAAAGACAGGTATGTCTAAACCAATTTACTCTCAATATATTGAGTTCTGACATGGGACATCACAATATTTTCATGTTCTCCTTTGAACAGAAATAGAATTGCCACTCCTTCTCCTACTCCAATCACCCTGTTACTCTTAATCACTCTATTTTGAGTTCTAAAGCCCCTAAATGCCTGTGGGCTGAGTCAGCCTATTCATCAGCATGAGGAGTGGTGGTCACAAGCTTACCTGAGGCCTCCTGGGAAATAACCAACCACTGTTCAGACTCTTGGCTCGAGCCAAGATGGGCTTGAGAGTTCTCTGATCATGTGGTCCTTCTGACCACTGTGCTTTGTCCAATGACTCTGCCTACCTGAAATGCTCTCTCACTCTTTTCTACCTGCCACATGTGGTCATTCTTCAGGATCTGCTGGTTGACAGGAATCTCTCAACCAGGATTCACATCCCATGATTTGAGGTGGAAAAGGAATTCACCTTTACTAGACCCCCACCATCTGTGTGTTGAACACAGTATTCTACAATACCCTCCATGAGATGTATAATATGTCTTATGTTCATTTTACAAGTTTAGAAACTGAAGTTCTGAGAGACTAAGTAACTTGCCCAGGACCACTCAAGTAGCAAGTCCTAGAGCAGGATAATAAACCCATGACTGTGTTTGAAAATAAAACACACCAGCACATCTGGCAATATAATGCTCTGGAACATTCCCTCTATTGTTACAGTGTTTCATGGAACTGTTATACCTCTCTAGTGTTATTTCACTTTTTGCATACTTGAGCATATTTTCCTAATTTGCTGCTAAGATTCTTCATGACAAGAGCCATGTTCAAATATCTTATTTAAAACATACAGTACCACTTTGTACTTACTACTTCATCCTTTCATAAGTATAGCATTTACCTGTTGGAATTTCATGATACCAAAAAACAAACTTGAGCAAATGTAAGTTTGACTTATAAAAGAGTTTCTATAAAGACAATTAATGGTTAATAATGATAAAAATACTATAGTTAGGCTTACAGTTTTGCCTGGAATCTGCTTTTACAGGAAATATATCTCTGCACTTGGGATTGGTTGACACCATACAGGCTGGTCCACGTGAAGGTCCCTCCTAAAATAATTGTCCAGAATGTGTGTCTTTGCAAAGGATTAGGATTAAAACTAAATGAAAACAAACAGAAAACAAATCTGAACTATTGGCAAAAAAAATCCCTACAGGAACCCCCCTTTTCCCCAGAGTAATTTTGGAAACAAGCAATGTAAACCTACACAAATATATATATTCCCTCACACACACACACACACACACACACACACGTACACATTTATTAAGTAATTATAAAAGGCAGAAATATTCCTAATTTAAGTTCAATGAAATAAAATTGATACTGTCAGAGGTTTGGGAATTCTGGATGGGATTGGGGAACATTAATATTCTAATCATTCTGAGCATTTATGTAAATTCTTCTCTCATAGCCACAGAAAATAATTTAAACAAGCCATACTGTAATCAGAGAAAAGCATGAAACAACAACAACAAAAAGCAAAAGGTCCTAAATACATCACAGCAACAGGTAATGTACTGAAATAAACATAAAATTGATACATCTTGTGTGTCTAATTCTTCTCCTAGCACATGTATAGTCATAGTTTTAATTTATCGTCACACTTAAGAATTCGGTCAATTAATAGTTTAAAGGTCTTCATGTTCTAAAGTTACTATGCCATTATAATTGTGCTTTCTTAATATGCTGTGTGCACAAGCTAAATATTAACAGTTGAAAGTCATTTTATGACTTGTACCAAATATTGTTACAAAGAAAGCTCAACTTCCACATTTAATACATCTTTAAACCCTTCTTAATGTATCACCCTGGGAGGAATGATTCTGCTAATCTCTGATACGCAATACAAACTTGAAAATTTTCTGCAAAATTAGCTTTCATAAAAACTTCCTGAACATTATAAAATTCTGAAAATTTTTATCAAATCTCATATTTGAGATCGTTGAGTAAAACATTCCAATTTTGTGCATATTCTGACATTCCTATGGGCAGATGAGAGCCTCTATTCCATATTTTAACCTTTAATATCAAAGTCAAGTAGTTTCAAGGGTGTTGTCTCTTTATCCCATAGAAAAAGTAGCTATTATATTAGCTAATGGAAGACAAAAGCCAAAAGGATTCAGTGAGCTATTTGAGGCAATTCAAACTTTAGAACACCCGGCTCAGAGATTTTAGGCCATACATGTGCCAACTACAGACTGTAGGGAAAATACCACGACAAAGTCCTTCTCTTTGTTTCTCAACCAGAGCAGATCTATCACCCACAATATTCTTAAAACATAACTGAATAGCAAGGGAGATTCAATAAAGATTTTCATTATTATTTAATTGTTTGGCCACCTGCAAAGTAAAGGTCATAAAAATATCTAATCTTTTACTTTTTAAAATCTGTTACTGATGTATAAGTTATTTGAATGTGGCAATATGTTTATCCTTTTTATAAAGTGACATTTATTTTGCAGAAAAATGATTGGTTCCATACCCTCTCCCCTCGACCTAGCCTACTAGAAAGAGATGTAGGAGTAATCAATGTCCCTGAGTGGCCACTGCTTCTTGTATCCATTCCTCCCTCTCCTGCTAACAGCAACTCAGGTTTGCTCTGGAGAAACCACTATTTCTCTATTAAATATTTTAAATGGCTGTCAGTCAAAATGTCCTGCTCTGCCCAGCCAGTGTGGCTCAGTGGTTGAGGGTCGACCTATGAACCAGGAGGTCATGGTTTGATTCCTGGTCAGGGCACATGCCCAAGTTGTGGGCTCAATCCCAGGGGCATACAGGAGGCAGCAGATCAATGATTCTCTCTCATCATTGATGTTTCTATCTCTCTCTCCCTCTCCCTTCCTCTCTGAAATCAATAAAAATATATATATTTTAAAATGTCCTGCTCCGCCCTATCTGAGTGATGACATCATGGCCAAACTGGATCAACTAGAGACTCTCCTTCTTGGAATCTGAGTCTTGGGGTAAAAGGAAAATGAAATATTGAAAACAGTTAAAATTGATTCTCTGTAATACATTCCTGCAAGTTAACACAATGACCCTGTTCAATTTATGAAAAAGCTCTTCTCAAGCATTAGTGCCTATTTTCAGAAAGCCAGAAGAGATCCAGCAAGAGCAAAATAATTATTTTCCTCTTGAAATAATTTTAGTTTGCCTGTCTCAAAATAGAGCTACGTAAAGAGAAAATAAGCCCATGTAAAATGAACACGATGCACAAGAATGACACTGATGACCCAAAAGGGAAGGTGTCTTAAATATTCTTGTAAATTGTATGAAATATTTGTGGTGAAATATCTAGTTTCTCTATTAGTTCTTCTTTAGGAAAAATGAACAGCTGTTGAACACATATTCTATCAAGTGTTATGTTGACACTTGAGTCATCAGCCATAACTTTTCTAGTCAATGCTCTTAAAATAATATATAATAGTATATAATGCAGATTATACATTTATACATATATACTATATGGTATAATCCTAAATAATAAAGAGATAATATGCAAATTAACCCTCACATCCTCACAAGATGGCTGCCTACAACTGAACAAGCAGGCTGCGTGGGGCGACCAGGCTGGCATGGGGGTTAGTGAGGGACGACCAAACAACTGAACAAGCAGGCTGTGTGGGGTGACCAGGCGGGTGGGGGGA